CCTTCCCTCCTTTCCCTCCCTCTTTTTCTCCCTCCCTTCCACTTTTCTCCTCCCCTCCCCTCCCTTCCCTCGCTCCCCCCAGACCGATGTTACACTCCCCGCAGGTGACAAACGCTCCGTGGGGCTGAACCGAGTGTGTGTGAGGCCGGTGCCCGCCTGGCAGAAGGGCATCAGCGACTTCCTGAAGCTCCCATCCAAGGAGAACCGGGCACCCGACGAGGACACGCCCGGGACCAGCGGCCTGGGGTGGGTGCGGGGCAAGCGCAGGCACGAGGTGGGGGAAGCGAGTTGTGATTGTTTTTCCTCTGTGAAAATCCAGTTTTATTTTTCCTGCTGGAAAGTTGGGGGGTATGTCTCCTGTCCTCCCAATCTTTGTGGAAATTATGTTTCTCAGCAAAGGCTGGCAAAGTTTTCAGGGACCTCATGGAGGTTCCTGAAAACGGGGGAGTAACTGGTAGTTGAGGCAAGTTCTCAGTGCTCAGACACARTGGCTGCACAGCAGAGCCAAGTTTTGGAAAGGCTTAGGGGAGCACTAGTAACTTCCATGTGCCAGGAATTGAGTGGCTTTTCCAAGCTGAAACCTCCGATTAACCTGCAGGCAGCAGCATAAGATAGTGTCTTACGGACRCTCTGTTTTCCATAGGGAATTCTGGGTTGAACCTCCATTTTTCCACCAAATACAGATATTCACAAACTGCCAGGGGGTCCCATAAGAATCAGCCCCAAAGTGCCCTGCAGGACAAGCAAACAAATGCTTTTAATCTGTTGGTGAAACGTTTGCTGTAGCACAGAAAAACTTTCATCCTTTTAAACTGGAGCCGGTTTAAACTTTTAAACTCAGCCGGGCTGAGTAGGAACCAGGTGGTGAGAAGAGAACACAGTGTCCCCATCCAGAATGATTTGCAGCTTCCCAGTGCATTCTGAAAGAAGCAAGAACTGTTCTCGCTCAGCTGCAGCAGCTTTTTGTTCTGTAAGTTAGTCAGGTGGGAACTCAGGTGTGAGATAGGAGTTATGGAGCTTCCAAGAAAAGGTGTGGAACCTGCCCTTGGGGTCYGGGACATGCAGGAACCGTTCAGGGTGGTTTCAGGGATGTTTTCTTTCTGCTTTGGAAAAAATGTCTCTGCAGCCCCATCTGGGCTCAGAGCACTTGGGATGAAGTAGTCCCTGTCAGTCCTGATGCCTCAAGGTGCTGCCTGAGGCTAATTAAAGTCATTTGGGTCACCTGGCCTCTGAGAAAAGGTCTTTGTTAGCCTTTCAAACCCGAGGTGAGTTCTGCTAATGCTTCTGAAATAATGCTCTTCACAGAGCTGGGCCCCTGCCACCGGATCCTGCCGAAGATGGAGAGTCCTTGGAGGAAGAGTAGATGTGATCTGACCTCGATTTTCATGTTAAAATGCTCATCCTACTCGAGCTTGGCTTTGTACATTTGTATGGTTTTTTACAATTTTTTATGGCTCCCTTTCAGCTGTTGTATAGATCTGAAAGTCTGAGAGASAGCATGAACACTGGAGAAATGAATTAATGTTCAATACTATTTGGYACTTAATGTTCAGTGTAAACTACTGGTTTAATTTTTATCTTGGTTTGCCTGATTGCTCCTGCATGTTGGGCAGCTTTTGTCTTTCACCTTCTGGCTGCCTTGTGCTTGTCCAAGACTTGCATGRTCATGGTTGTTCTGTTTTAAAAAGMAGATCCTCATTTTTTTAATAAACTGAAGCCTCCTGAGCACAAACCCATATTGTGTCTTTATTGTTGTAAAAGCTGTTAATCTTTGTTTTGCCCARAGATGGGAAACTGGCTTTGGAAAGACACTGGAGAGGTGGGTGGGCGGGCAGCTGGAACTGGAGGTGATTAGAKGTGAAGTTGAATTAAAACAAACTGGTTGTTCTAAACAATCGGAACCCCGAAAGCTGGGGGAGCAATAAATAACTAAAACTATTGTTACTGTGGCTGTTATGGAGGTTGCCACATAATTTTTGGGGCAATTCATAGGAAAAAAGCAAGTGGGGCCTCGTGATTAATGTTCAACTCAGGGGTTTGTTCTGCTTCTGCTCTTCCTCAGAAGCTCCATGGAAGCTCAAGAGTGTTGTTGAGCAGATGAAAAGGGGAATTTAGGAGGAAATTTAAATTTAAATTTAGCACACGAGGAGAGTGTAGTGTCAGCTCTTGTAGGTCAGCCTGGTGGGAACAGCTGTGAACACTAAAAACCTCTTCCTAAAATGTCTAGGGATAAAAAGGAGAATTGGTACAGAAAAGCAGTTTAAGTTTGATTGAGAAGTAGCAATGGATTTTTCTTTAACAAAAATTTTAAAGGATTATGTAAATTAAGGGRAAAAATCTGAGCAAGGTACAGACTTTTTTGCCCTGATGCCACATAAAACATCACCACAGTGACGGGTGCCACGGTGGCACAAAGGGTGGCTCCTTCCCCTCCCTTTGACCTGCCAAACCAGGGTATCCTCAGTTCCATTTCTCCTCTAAAAATGCCTGGGGGACAGCAAAAACCTGTGGGCTGTGATCAGATCTGCCCATCCCCTGCATCCCTCAGGGGYTGTCCATGCTCAACTGCCCCAGGATGGCTGTGAGCTGCCCGGGGGGAAGGTGGAGGATGAGGAGCAAGGGCTGGTGGAGACCTGAATGGCAGATCCAAGAACCGTTGGGGTTGGAAGGGACACCACAGCTCATCCCATTCCACCCCTGCCATGGACAGGGACACCTTCTACTGTCCCAGGGTGCCCCAATGTCCAGCCTGGCCTTGGGCACTGCCAGGGATCCAGGGGCAGCCACAGCTGCTCTGGGCACCCTGTGCCAGGGCCTCCCCACCYTCMCAGGGAACAAATCCTGCCCAATATCCCATCTATCCCTGCCYTCTGGCAGTGGGAAGCCATTCCCCTTTGTCCTGGTACTCCAGGCCCTTGTCAGTTGTCTCTCCCCATATTTCTTGTCTGTTCCTTCAGGCCTTGGCATGCCACAATGAGCTCACCCCAAAGCTTCTCTCCAGGCTGAACARTCCCAGCTCTCCCAGCCTTCCCTCCCAGCAGAGAGCTGCTCCATCCTCTGACCATCCCGGTGCCTCCTCTGGCCTCACCCCAGCAGCTCCATGTGCTCCCCATGCTGGATTGCTCTCACACATCGTTGAACAGATCAAATCTGACGGAGCTGGAGCACAGGAGGCTGTGGAGGGATGTGAGGCACACAGAAGGAGCTGAGGGTCCAACGTGTGCCTCTGGTTCACATCCACCCTTCTGGGAACCTCRGGGAGGAGCAGCACTGGGTATGGAGCACCTGCAGCTGCTTTTGCCTCTAATGAACAAATCAAGGTGCTCCCTCTGCACAGACAGAATCCAGATGTTCACACCAGCACCTGCAATCTCAAAACTGAGTTTTGATAAGAAACCAAAAGCAGGAGAAGGTGTTTACTTGGATGCCTTCCTGTCCTGGTGGAATATGGGAGGGTGACCTTCAACCCACACTCACTGGAGCTGATTTAGCTCCAGCTGTGCCCCTGCTGCTCAGCTTTGAGCTCGCGGGGAAACAGGAACAGCACACAGCTCTTCTGAAAATCAGGGACAAAATCAGACAGGCAGACAGTGCTAAAGCTCGGGAGCTTCAGACAACACAAAATAAAATTTATGTGTGAGACCAGACTYGTAGAAGGTTTCCATGTCCCAAAGCTTACCTGGTTGTTTGGGGTTTTTTTTTTTCCCCCAGCTATTGTCGCTCCAATAAAAATCTCCTTAAAATGGGACTGTGCMTATCTGAGAACACTGAGAGAGCTCCACCTGTGCTGACACATTACTGAACTATTTCCATCAATCTCAAAAGTGCTTCAATCCAATGATGTAATTAAAGTGAAGTTTAGTRTGGTAGAGAAGGGTCATGCACAGTGTTCAAAATAAAATATGGATAAATTGTCTGTATCACCGTACTGGGTGTAACGTTACAGCACTAACCAGAGGTTTTCCCTGCAAAAGGGGATTTCTTAGAGTCTTAGGGCAAGAGGTATGGTCCTCAGAACCTCCTAAGAGGAAGAATCGTCTGGAAATCTCGTCAGCATTACTTTTATATCTTCAGAGTACTTTTCACTTCTTAGGTAATTTCTTGTAATTTTAAGGGATTATCCGATAATGATGTTATTTTGGTTAAATCCATATGAACACCACAACCCACTGACAGCCTCTTCCAGGGCCTGAAGGGGCTCCAAGAGAGCTGAGGAGAGACTTGGGACAAGGGATGGAGGGACAGGAATGGCTTCCCACTGCCAGAGGGCAGGGATGGATAGGATATTGGGGATAAATCCTTCCCTGGGAGGGTGGGGAGGCCCTGGCACAGGGTGCCCAGAGCAGCTGTGGCTGCCCCTGGATCCCTGGGAGTCTTCCAGGCCAGGCTGGACAGGGCTTGGAACACCCTGGGACAGTGGGAGGTGTCCCTGCCATGGCAGGGGGTGGAATGAGAGGAATTTAAAGCTGTTTTCCAGCCCAATCCAGCCCGTGATTCGAACAGTGTTCAACACCAGTACCCCGGGCTGACCATAGATGTCAGCAGCACCTTCAGCTACAAACCGTGCCAGTGACCGGCCAAGGCTCCTTCTGCCTTGGACTCGTTGATTTATTTAGGAAACGTGAGGGGAATATCTCAAGGTATGGAYGAGAGACTGGAATTGCTCATTTCCTGAGAGTCTGTGTTATCTTGCCAGGTGAGGAAATGGCTTCAGCGAAATCACCCGCCGTGTCACCGGCTGGATCCCCGCGGCCTCCTCACAGCCAACGCTGCTGGAGGGACAGGGATGGGCAGGGAGGGCATTAGATTGTCCAATCTATATCCCATCTTCCCCCSCAGATTTTACTCCCACCCCAACGTGTGGAGTTTCCTGCCAATAGTCCCAATAATTTATCCGACCCCTGACTCTGAGGACCTCACAGCCCTGAGAGCACTGATGAGCAATAAACTGTTCTCAGCTGAGCCCCCATAGGTGCCCRAAGGTCCAAGAGCTCCTTTTGAGCCGGGCTGGGGCACCCACACTTCTCTCCAGGGGATTTTGGGTGTACCTACATCACAAATGAGAGCTCAGGGGGTCTCTGCTGCCACAACTGCACGTGTGGCAGAAGCTCCTGGATGCCCCAAAAGCAGCTGCAAAGCGAGCACATGGAGTATTTAGGAGAGGAGACGGAAGAGTTTAGGAAATAAGAATTCTCAAGGGTCTGATATATGGAATTTTAAATCTTACGGGGCAAAATTATCTTTGTTTGGGCAAGAGAGAGCGATGGAACAGACGCCATCCCATCTCATCCCCACAGCCTGGGGCGCTTCCTTCCTCACCCAGGGATAATTACAAACTGCTGCTGCTCCAAAGCACTTCTGAGCTTTTCCCGGCAGACCCCCTCTGCCCTCGTGTCCGAAACRGGACAGACGGCACCTTTCTGCTGGATTTAGCTGGAAGGAGGGATCTCCTGCTGCTGTCCCGCAGCCGGGGGCAGCTGCTCGGCGGGGACAGCAGATGTCCGGGCCGTGGGGACACAGATGGAGGGGAGGGGGACAGGGCCATCAGCTGTCGGGCTGCCGACCTCTCACCCCACCATGGGAAACCTCAGGGACCTCATGCCCAGATGAGGGGTTTGCACGACTTTTTCTGATTTTCAAGGCTTTTCCTGAAAAAAAAAAAAAAAATCTGTTCCCACAGCACGTCCAATCTGTATCCCTGATTGTTTACTTCGCACTCCTTGGAGTGCAGCCTGCCTGCTGCAGACACAGGGTTTGCAGTTCAGGTGTCACCTGCTCATATTAAGGGAGTTACACTCGACTCCTTCTAGAGCAATATTAATTTCGGTAAATTCCAAGCCTATTCACGTGTATTCCTGCTCTGGGCACAAGGCTGTTTCTATGGCAAGAGAGGAAGGTGAGGCCTCGGTACCTTCTTCCTTTAAGCAGTCGCTCCCTTGCTCTCACCTCTCTGACAAAGTGCTTTTTTTGCTTCATTTTTCCCTTGCCTTTGTTTCTTCCCCCTTTGTGCGCTACGCAGAAGGATCTGAACTCTGTCKGCAGGGTCCCCACGCTGCCCTGTCGGGGTGGGGCCTCCCTGTGCCTGATCCTCAACAGGAGTTCCATTGTCCTTCCTGCCGCTCMGGACAAAGGGGGATTGTCCTGCCCACCGGCCCCAGCCGCCCCRCGGCCAGAGCTGCCTCATCCCGACCGGAGATGTGAGAAGAAAAGCAGGATGTTTCCTTTCTGTTCCTAATAAAGCCCTTGGAAATTGGGCTGGGATCTCACCTGTCTGGGCTGAGGGTGAGGAGGCGAGCAGAACCTCCATCGGGGCTCTCCTCACCCACCACAAACGTTTTTGGGTCAGCTTTGATGCCCCTTCATTCAGCACGCAGGCTGGTGTTCACATAAACTCCTAAGGGATTATCACAGGGCTAATGAGAATCCRCACATTTAATAGGGCTTAGCAAGAGAACTGCTTGGACTAAAATTGATGATAAATAATTTTTCAGAATTAAGGTGCTCCTTGGGAGTGCCCAGATGGTTCAGAGCAGATAAAATGGGAGCTGAATTGCAAAAGTGCCTCTCCCTTTAACCAAAAATATCGTCAATATTGTGATATCCACATTATTATTACTATTATTATTATTAGTAGTAGTAGTATTAATATTATTATTATTATTTTCCATGGATAATAGCACAAAGAATAAGCAAAATCAACTAGCTCCAGAGCAGAGGCTCAGAGTAGGGTTTGATG